TACGGTTTCTCTTCTTTTTGTACTTTTGAGATCTATGAAATGACAAATATTCTAAATAGCATATTAGCAAAAACACACTTAAGAGTACACACAAATGTCAAATATTTATGATGATGCATTTACCATTATAATATTTCTGTTGAATATTTTGACTACTTTGTTACATACTGTACAAATGGTCCATATACATTATATGTACCTATACAAATGCATATGCAATGCTAGTTGATCATATATATATAAAATGCAAAAATTCCCCAATGAAGTGTAAATAATATAAGACTTATATAAATCCCCTGTTTGATTCATCACATCAGAATCTGAAGCGACATTAAACAAGAAAAATTGAATAGAAGTGAGCTATAGAAAAATCTTTTGAATTACATGTCCATAATGAGGTAGTGATACATAAACAATAAAGCCCTTCATATTCCAAAGAAAACATTCAAAACTGGTAAACTGACCTCATCCCTTATGAATAAGAATTTCCAACTTATTTAGAAATGGATAAATGAAATTAATCAGAAACAGATAGATTGCACTGCTGACGAGCCATGCCAAAAAGCCACAAGCCTGCACAAGTACCAAGCCAACATGTGTTAAACCAGTTAATAACAAGATCACACGACTTATGTACACCAATGCTTGAGCTTCGTGAGCTTGCCTCCGACAGCAACTTTATACTGACATACAAATTCCCTCTTTGTATCATGTAATCCTACAGGTACAAAAATATAGTGTAAGACTGCTGACATGAAAAGAGATCTTGCTACTGCATCATCTATAGACAATCTTAGAAAGTGATACACATCTAAATGTAAAAGATTATAGGAAAATACAAACATAATATAAATCAGTACATTAAAAGAAAAATTCACAAGTGAAAACCTGTGCATTATACTAAATAAATTAGGTACAATTTGCATAACTTTTTTTTCATAATTCTTGTGTAGAAATCATAAAATCAATCATGTCCACAACTATTGCTCATTCATGAATGAACTTTACATCAATATGAAGCTTCTTTCTACATTAAATAACAGAGATAAACTTTTATTATTCACTGATCTTATCTTATTCCTCCTACTCCTGCCTTTGATATGGAATAACATTCTTACCAAAAGACTCAAAAATAAAATAAAATAAAAAGGGACAAAGAAAAGAAAATAGCCTCTCACCATTGGCAACACCTACTATTAATTTTATACATGTATTTGGAAAACAAACAAAAATATTACACATTCATACAATGTTTTTTGTGTTTTTTTTTTTCTTAAAGAATATGGAGAAGCAAACCAACAATCTTAAATGGTTTAAATACAGATAAGGAGACAATTCAATCCGTCTTTAAACTTTACTGCTGCGTCTTTTCTCTTTATCTCATTCATCTTCCTTGGCCTCTTCCCAGAAAGTCCAGCGAGCCTTCTCAATCGCCTGCCACAATTCCTCACTCCTCTCAATGTACTCTGCATTGGCCTTGTCAACATCAATGGGGACATTCCATTCTGAAAAATAATTCTGGTGTTAGGAGAGATTTGTCCATTTCAACCTTTCACTTCTTTGGGGTAGTCTGTATACTATGTAAACCAGTTAGTAAAGAAACAGTTAGTAAGACAAGTGAAAAAAGGAAAAAGAACTGGGAAAAACAGATGCAAAAAATAAAGGCAGAAACTCACCCACTGGTTCGAAATCTTCCTTGCTTGTGTCCTTTGCATCTCCTGTGCATCTCCTCTCTTCCAAGCCAGTGTTGTAGTCTCCATAGGAGATGAGTAGGGTCATAGTACGGCCGTAGTTTTTGCGCAGCATAATTGTTCCAGTGCCCTGGCTATATAGTCACCGCCCATGTGATTCCTGTATGACAAAGCAGTGCCATTAAATATCTTTACAAAAAAGGCCTACTATCAAAAAACAGAATGATTCATGTCGGTTCTACAAGAGATTACAAAAATTTACAAAATACATATACTATGAGCTTTCACCAATTAACTAATTGCTGCTAGTTACTCACATGCCAGGGTAATGCTGCTTCTTGGGCACAGCATAACTCACTTTCAGAGGCTTCTGGCCCAGGCCCTTGAAGCCATTCATATGTGTGAGGGCATCTTTGTACTCATCTTCTGAATAAAACCTCACAAAAGCAAATCCTTTGCTTTGTCCATTTGGGTCATATATAACTATGAAAAGAAAAAGAAATTTCCATAATCACTTTGTGCATCTATCATATACTTGGCCAGTACTGAAATATATAACCATCATAACCTGCATAATGCCTTACAATGGAAAGGCCCCAATAGAAATTCTCACAATATACATCATTACGGTGGTGTACACATACCTTTTGCTGTCTTGATACTGTTATATCTGCTCCCAAAAGTCTTGTATAGGGCGAAGTCATCCACATCAGGTGTAAGGTCACCCACCCACAAAGAATACTCTTTATCTGTGTTGTTACCACGTGTACTGCTGTGGTTCAGCTTGAATCGCACAGGCTGTTGGAAGTTCATAAATTTTTTTGACCACCTGGTTTAAAAATGAGATCAATATCTTCTACCTTTTCAGATATTATGAGGCAAAGTTATGCAAAGGAAATGTGCAGGGGATGTATATATTATGAGGCAAGTTATGTGCAGCTTCAGAAAAACATATAATGGTATTAACCCAATGCCACTGGCGAAATGTGATGTTCACTGTAGTACTTTGTGAAATGTCTCGACACATAGATGACCCCACAATTAGTAAACCTTGTAATCTCGCTTGACTCGACTTTTCCTTGAGTTTAGGGGATTTTTTTTTTTTTAATGCTACTAATATTGATGTTGTTATTATTATCATTATTACAATAATTAGTGTTATCAACATTTCAAATAGCAATGAAGAATAAAAAACATATGTATTTCTGAAAATCAAGAAAAAGGGTAAACGGGTGAGATAGGTCGGACTACGGATCGACTCAATGATTCACTAAGCACACATGGAGCCATTCATGTGTAAATACAAGAAATAAACTAAACACACTGTGGAGATGACATGTCTATCCATGCTATCCCCTGTGGCATCAAGTTAAACTTTAAAATAATAAATACTTTTATCTCAAAAAATTTAAGGAAAGAGATAAATAGGTGAGATCAAGCAGCCTTAGTATAATCTGGATCCATTATTATTTAAACAAAATCAACAATGAAAACTTTAGTGGACAATGCACATATAAATGTAATCCAAGTATTGGATGGTTCAGAAATGATAAGACAATTTCATATTAATATATAACAAGAAAAGAAAAGAAAAAGAAGAAAGAAAGAAAGAATGAAAGAAAGATAGAAAAAATGAATGAAAGAAAGAAAGAAAAAGGGAGAATACATGAATCATACATAGTCCCTTTATTGCCATAGTGATTTTTATAAAAAAAAAATCTAAATGTTCGACTAAAACCACTTACCGGCTGACTATGCGGGATGACCTTCCCATTGAGCTTGTGCATGGCGGTCAAAGCAGCCTGGTCCGAGGAGAAGTTGACAAAGCAGTAGCCAGCTGGGTGGCCTGTGTACCTGTTCTTCATCACCTAAAATGGGGAAATACCTTAGATAAAGTTCCAAAACAAATGGATTTATCAATTGTCGCACACAAATGTATGCACATTTTGTATGCTTTATGCTGTAAGTACAATAACAACACGTCGGCATCATTAATGTTAATCAAAGCATCATACAAAATTGATTACTTCTTCATCCTTACCTTTACATTCTGAACATTCTCCTCGCCAAGAGCACGGAAAGCAGCAATGATAAAGTTTTCGTCCATGTAATCTGCCAGCTGGTGAAGACAAAAATATTATTAGTAAATCCATGTCCTTTGATTTTCTAAAACATAAACATTAGATTGTGAGATCAACTAACCCTCAAAGAAATACATGCTTTGGGATGAAATCAGTTCAAAATATTGAAAATATGTAGATATTACAAAGACACTCGTCCGGGCTTTCAAAATCTAAATCCTCTTTGATGATACTGCTTTCTTTCTATCCATATTCACTTGAGGATTTATTGTAACCCTCCGGAAAATGACAGCAAATTCTAACTATTCGCATTTTTCAGTGATTCAAAACCGAAAGCTGTGAAAAAGATATTCTACAGAGGTGCCTATAAAATGTTCAAACTTGGAAGGTTAACAGTGTATCATTTAGATGATATACTGAAAATAGATAAAAACCATATTTCTAATGCAAATTCATGGGAAACCAAAGGATGTATTCCAGAGAATGGCATAAACAATGATTTACCACTATATATATATATATATATATATATATATATATATATATATATATATATATATATATATATATATATATATATATATTTTTTTTTTTTTTTTTTTTTTTTTTTTTTTGGGGGGGGGGGGGAGGCAAGGAAGTTAATGAACCAGATTAGAAAACAAATGAGCCAAGCTTACTTTTGAGGTGACTGAGAGCCCTGTTTTCTACTATATTTTATAGGCCTTAATTCTTGCTTAAGTTGTGTTTTTGAGATAGATCATGTACTTTTAGTAATATTAATTGTTACAGATTCTAACAATGTTCACGTAATTTAAGCATTTCCGTCTGGATATGTCTGCTTGATGAGGTATTTGCCTACATCTGCTTATTTACTAGTTAATGCATATTACAAAAACAAAGATTTTTGTGTTATTATTTGTTGTCAACTTGGCTGTCACTGTATCAATTTTTCCAAGTGTGTAGGAAATAGGACACTTTTTTTTATATTCATCACCCTAAAGCATATATAAACTTTTACCCAGGCATCAATCATGGGGTACTTACAGCATCAGTGACAGATATATAGCACCATGATCTTTTCTCTCTAAATACCGAGCATACTAAACCGGGCTCAATAATGCTTTTCAGCTTTTGTTATGTCTTTTCCCCCCCAAGAATACAACACTAAAATGAAGGGGAGTGACTACCAGTATGGGAGAAAAGTCCTTGATTGGTGTCCTGACGTGTGGTGTAACAAACACGATGGCGGTATCTTGACACGGGAAGATGGAACCACACTCTATTGGGATAGGTTTGTTTAGGTATGGTTGGGTTCATGCTTGGTGCCTGAATATGACGCTTATATTTGTAACCTCAGCTAATATTAAACTATTCAGCTACAAACCACAACCAAGAGAATATTCTGGAAACTGCTATAAAATTGGGGATATCTTTTACTCCAGAGTTATTGTGCTAAATTCAATTTGTTCTTTTCTGTGTTTACATTTTATACTTGACTTTTTCAAATATATCAACATTCAAATGTAAATTGCGAGTCAAGGGGGTGTTCTGTCATAAAAAATGCTTTTTGATAACAAAACCATGTAAAGTCCATCAGGATGTGTGCCAACCTGTTTTCGGCAATCAAATATGCTATATTCCAGGTATGTGGTGGTTGCATTCCATGAGATAAAATGTTCATTTGAGTCATATTTTGTTACTGGGATTGTTGCACTTTGGTACTGTAGGCTTAAATTCTTTTAAATAAATCTTAACTTGAAAACTACCAGTATTTGAGGTTATCATATATGGTACTTGGAGAGAAAATGTAATAGTGTGAATGCTAAAGCTGCAAAGCGTTAGACAACCTGTCAAAGCTTCAAAGCTTCCGCAAAGATTTGGCATAATGATTAGTCAATAGATTTAGAAGTCGACTGCAAACTCTATCACGAAGCTACATTAAATTCCACAATTAGAGCTTAATATCATCAAAGTCCCAAGCCATTTTAATACAGTGACTGAAATTCACCTGAAATTCCTCATCTTTAGCCTTAGAAAGCGAATCCCCTAAAAATAACAGCTAAAACAGCGGCAAAATATTTTCGCTTCCTCTCCAGCCAAGCGCCCCTGGAACGTGGCTCCCTCATATCACTCATCTCCCACGCCAAGAAAACCCTCATTATGGTTGTCAGTCACTCACGAAAACCTGCACGATTTCATATACTCACATCACCCATCCACAGAGCCCCTTCTCGAGCCATTTTGCCTTCAGGGAGGTTTCAGAAAGCGCGAAGGAGACTTTTTGGCTTCTTTATCAGAGTTTACTAACATGCGATGGAATACGGCGCTTGAGAACAGAACCTCTGGCGATTTCTGCCCGGTTTCCCTTGACGGCTGGCACGGTCTCGCAAGGTGTGCATGTCGAATATGAATGATCATAATGATCTTTATTTTTTTTTATCATAAAATATATTACGATTTTATGTTATTTTTTCTTTTATTAGAGGTAAAAAGGATGCCATGTTTTGTGTTCACCGGGATTACTGTACGGGAAGTATAGTATTGCAACACATGTTAATCATACTATCGTTTTTATACACACACACACACACACACACACACACACACACACACACACACACACACACACACACACACACACACACACACACACACACACACACACATACACACACACACACACACACACACACACACACACACACACACACACACACACACACACACACACACACACACACACACACACACACACACACACACACACACACACACACACACACACACACACACACACACACACATATATATATATAAATCGTGAGTTTTCATTCCTAATCATGTGCCTACATATTGTACAAATAAACCATTTTAATGGGGGGAAATTGAACCAAAAATGAGTTAGAAAATGGATATATCTTGTTTAAGGCAAACGTAACTATAATATGTACACTTTTTCTAAAGAACAGTATGTACTACACGGCCAGGAACAAGATTAGGTAAAAATAGAGAATGAAAAGGTCTCTAGCCTTGCTTTTGTATGTACTTAATTATTCTGTGGTGATAGATAGAAAGGGATGAAGAGAAAAAAAAAAGAAATTGTAAAGGAGGAAAAGAAAAAGACTGCAAATTTAGATAAGGGCTAAGGTCCATGGTATGGTGACAGAATGGTTAGCTAAGAACTGCCATGAATATAAATGGTGCTACAATGAAGTTGGTTTTCGAAATAAGTCAGGTATTGGTTTACTTTAGCATTCTTATCAATTTCTTATCTTCTCTAAAAAGTTGTATCATCTAAATAAAAAAACTTGTCAGCATCGTAATCTTATTTTCATAAATCTTACAGTTCATAATGAAGATACTTTAGATACTATGATATAAAATGCTCATGAAACTATTCACATATAAAAATATAAACTGCTGTAACTGTATCTTGGGTTTCATTAACATAAGCAATATTTGTTCTGTACATTTACAAATGCAGTCACAAAACTACATTTATGCCAAGTGATTAGCTAAAATAAATGTTCAAGTTATATTTATGACATAATAATTTTCACTAACAAGAGCACCAGTCTTTAACTTATAAGATTAAGAAAAAATAGAGAATGAAAAGGTCTCTAGCATAGCTTTTGTATGTACTGAATCATTCTGTGGTGATGTATAGAAGGGGATGAAGAAGAGAGAAAAAAAAAGAATATTAAGGAGGAGAAGAAGACACTGCAAAT